CTCGCGATCCGACGACCAAAACCATCCGGAGAAATCAGTCGAATTTCGTGGGGAAAATGCGACCAGTTCGTGTCGCTCGACATCGTCTACAAAAGGCTTCAGCTCTGGCGGCCGAGGCACAGATTTTCCAGGGGCGTTCGTGTTTCGAGGATGGCGGTTGGGAGCGCCAAGAGTCACGGCGCGACCAATCCTGCCAAGTTTCTTTTGGACAGGGATGTTCTCCACGACCCGCTGTGGGTGAGCTGGCGCAGAGTGCGGCCATGGTTCGCCGTGCCGAGCAGTGCGCAGATCTTGCGATCTCCTACCTGCCCATGTCGCTGGACGAGCTGACCATGATTGCTCACCTCGATGCGGACTGGGGGGATGCCATAAACAACGGCGCGCATGCGTTGTGCCGCTGTGGGGTGGATGTCAGCCGTGCTGTACGAGGCCCTCGACGGGCCAGTTGATCCGGGAAACCTCGACGCCTGCGTGGGCACCTGGGAGCCCATCATAGCTATCATGCCCTATTAAAAGACAGTTGGCGGACGCTCTGACCAAGGACAAGGGGGACCTCGCAGATCTCTTGAGGGCTTGCATGAGGGCCAATAGTTGTCAAGTAACCGACGAACAGCTCGTGTTAGACATGAAGACCAACGGACGGGAAAGCAGGGGGTTAAAAAGGTTTTTCGACGAAAGGAACAAACAATCTACTAGGACCTAGGGAGGCCCTTTTTTGATGTGACGACAGTGTGCGAAACCTACCATTTTTCCTACAGTTGCGTTGCTGTGGATTGTGTGTCGACACCATATTGTATATCACCCGCGTTTGTGTGAACACACCGACTTATGTAGTTGTTGTGCGTGTGCACTTTGCGTGTTGGCTGGCACTCACGGCCCGAGTTTCCCCAGCAATCCTGTGCTGTTTATTTTTTCTTCTGACACCTGCGGTGCGCCTGGCCACTCGGACCGATTCCCGTGGCCATGGTGAAGCAGGAGGAACCATCCGCAGCAGTGACCAGACACGAGTTCGGCGAACGCGTCCACCGTGCCCGTCTCCAGGCTAAAGGGGGCGATGCAGGTTCGTCCTCGGTAGTACGTTTTCGACGACGCAATCTGGCAGAGTGGTCGCAGTTACTGCCAGTGGTGTATCTCGCGTTTGTAATCGACCAACGGAGCCTCGCAAGCTTCATGGTTGGAGTACCGCGTGGCGCGTATCGGGGAGAATCCCGAGAGTGCAGCCACTCCAGGGACCAGCTCTCAGAGCGGTGACCCTGACACTCGCGTCACTGGGCTTGAGCAGACTGTGGACGCACTAAGGACCCGTTTTTCGTGGATCGAGGCCGCGGAGCAACTGGACCTCGATGCCCGTGTCGAGACGTTGGAGACGAAGCTCCATCAGCTCGGGAATGGGTTCCAGACTCTCGTCCGCAGCCTCGCGGCTTCTGGCATCCCCATGGTGCGAGCTGGGCCCAGAAGAGGGCCCCGTTTTCAGGCAGAGTTTGAAGTTTCGAGGGTGCCTCAGGCCAATGCTTGCCACGCCCGCCTGCTTCCGAAACCGTTCGTGGATCGAGGGATATTCCGAGAGCGCCGGGTGTGCCGGACAAACCAATCCTTGTCAATGCCTGGGAGGCCATGGCTTTTGCAGATGAGGAAGAGGAGGATGATGAGGAGGATGATGAGGAGGAGGAGGAGGACGAGGATATATCTTGAGGATGAGGGAGATGAAGAGGAATCAGGGGCACGATAAGGAGAAGGATTAAGAAGAGGAGGAGGAGAAGGCGGAGGAGGAGGAGGAGGAAACAGGAGAAGGAAGGAGGAACAGTATTGAGGAGAAGGAGGAGGAGGAGGAGGAGGAGGAGGAGGAGGAGGAGGAGGACGAGGAGACATCCTGAGGATGAGGAAGAGGAAGTAAAATAAGGGGCACGATAAGGAGGAGGATGTAGAGGAGGAGGAGGAGAAGGAGGAGGAAACAGGAGGAGGAAGGAGGAGCAGGATTGAGGAGGAGGAGGAGACATCTTGAGGATGAGGAAGAGAAAGAGGAATCAGGGGCGCGATAAGGAGGAGGATGAAGAAGAGGAGGGGGAGGAGAAGGAGGAGGAGGAGGAGGAAACAGGATGAGGAAGGAAGAGGATACTTGAGGAGGAGGAGGACGAAGCGACATCCTGAGGGTGAGGAAGAGGAAGAGGAATAAGAGGCACGATAAATGAGGATGATGAAGAAGAGGAGGAGGATGATAAGGAGGAGGAGGAAACAGGAGGAGGAAGGAGGAGCAGGATTGAGGAGGAGGAGGAGGAGGAGGCGGAGGTGGAGGAGGACGAGGAGACATCTTGAGGATGAGGGAAGAGTAAGAGGAATAAGGGGCACGATAATGAGGTGGATGAAGAGAGAGGAGAAGGAGAAGGAGAGGAAAACATGAGGAGAAGGAGGAGCAGTAATGAGTAGGAGGGGAGGGGGGAGGGGGAGGAGGAGGAGTGGAGGAGGAGGAGGAGGAGAGGGGAGGAGGAGGACGGGAGACATCTTGAGGATGAGGAAGAGGAAGAGAAATAAGGGAACGATAAGGAGAAGGAGGAGGAGGAGGGAGGAGAGAAGGAGGAGGAAACAGGAGGACGAAGGAGGAGCAGATTGAGGATGAGGAGAGGAGGGGGGAGAGGAGAAGGATGAGGAGGAGGAGGAGGAGGAGGAGCAGGAGGAGGAGGAGGAGAAGGAGACATCTTGATGATGAGGAGGAGGAAGAGGAATATGGGGCATGATAAGGAGGATGATGAAGAAGACGAGGAGGATGAGGAGGAGGAGGAGGAGGAGGAGGAGGAGGAGGAGGAGGAGAAGGACGAGGAGAGAACAGGAGGAGGAAGGGGGAGCAGGAATGAGGAGGAGGAGGAGGAGGAGGAGGAGGAGGAGGATGAGGATGATGATGATGATGATGATGATGATGATGAGGAGGAGGAGGAGGAGCGAGGAGCGAGGAGGAGGAGCGAGGCGGGACGGGGCGCAGCCGCCGGCGCACCCGAGGCAGATGCTCGAGGGCCACGCTGGCTGCTTCGGCACCTCCCTGACTTCGAGCCCCGTCCGCCCTCTCTGCCTGCGCCCCCCCCCCTCCCTCGCAGCCTGGGCTTCCCTGCCCCCCTCCCGCGGTCCTCCCTCTCCTCTCCTGCCCTTCCCCCTCCCGCCCTCCCTCGCCGCTCCTCCCTTCTCCCTGGCGTGCTGCGTCTGCTCCGCGACCCCGCGCCGCCTCCTCGTCCCCCCTCCCCCCCCTCTCGCTCTGTGTCTCTGCCTCTGTCCCAGTTTCAAGTCGGGCGTGTCCCTCTACAGGAGGAGTACACAAGAACAGTCCAAAAAGTAGTCGAGGGGCGATTGTTTAAATGTATTTGTGCGTTTTTTTGTCGAATATCCTCGGTATTTTTTAAAAAATAATTCCTCCAACATCTGCCTGTAGGGGGACAGGCCCGACCTAATCCCAGTTCTTCAACGCATGTGCCACGGAGTGAAAAGGTATGTCTCGCTCTGGGAAGGGGCTGGTTTCCGAACGTTCGACATTGACCGAGGAGGGGGGCTGTCTCTGGTGCTTTTCAACCTCGTCTTAGACGGGGCTCTTGGACGGTTCGGCAAAATCTGGAGGTGAGAAAGTTACAGCACCGACGCTGGAGTCGAATCTGGTTTTCGCAGGCACCGCCTTACCCATGTGGGGTTCGCTGATGACCAGACGCTTCTGGCCAGAAGTTGTTTTTTCCTGAAGCGCGTGTCGGACGCATTGTTGAGGAGAGACCTTTCTTCATCCCCGACAGAAATCCGATGCTTCGTACTGGCTTCGTCTTTGGCGAAACCTTGTGCGCGTGCGAGCCTACACAGCAGCAGAAGTAGACCTGCTAGGGCCTCGATGAAGAGTGAGCAGTGAAGCACGCCTCGTCGGAGGAGCACCCGCGCGGCGAAGAGGTCGTACCGCCGAGGCAGCGGAGCGGCACGCCCAGTGCCGAAGACGTCCAGCAGTCCCACCAGCGAGGCGCAGGAGCAGCACAGTGCACGGAATGACGGACTGGTGCGCCTCGGTGTGAGAGTTGTTTCGATGATACAGGGCTGCTTTTTAATGCATAGGATTTTTAAAGACAGGATGTTTAATCCATGATTAATTTAGGAATAGATGTATGCATGAACTCGTCGTTGTTTGTGATACTGCATCCCTGCATTTTTAATACATGATCCGCACGGGGAGCATGTATTCAAAACGGCACTGTACCGTGAACCAAGTTTTCTTTGAACACATATGCCCAAATTGGGTCAGGAACTTTACGTGATCATTGCAGTACTGTGCACTCCTGTGCCACTATGCTGCTGCTGTGCCGGCGATGAGGTGACTTGATGAGTACAGGTGCTCGATCCTTCCACCACTCAGCAGACAGGACACGACAAGAAACCTCAGTAACCACCATGTGGAGAGCATTCAGAAAAACATGTTCTAAACGATCCCCTGACATTGAATATTCATTTTGAAGAGAACGTCAGGGCCTGCTGTAGACATCACCTGAGCTGGACCATTGCACAAGGACTGCGAATCAGAAGACACATGATATGGATGGCCAGGACATTTGTACATCAAAGCAAACTGGTGACGATGCCTCCACGCTGCCCTTAGAAATCTCCCTGTTGAAAAAATATTGCTTCTGACTCAGCCTCGATCGACGATGCCTCTTTTGCATGCAACTTACAATCACAGTGACAATTTCTCGGATGCCAGTGCTTCCGCCAAGCTCGCACCCATTGAGTTTGAGCGTCTGCTGGTGTGGCCATGGCGCGGTCCCGTGTGTGAGCGGTGGCTGGCAACAGTGCTCTTGTCTGATAAGCGGCATCAGTTCAGCCATGCAGAAGTGTTCAATGGAGCACGCGCTCGTAGAGGGGTGGGTCGAGCAGGATATGGAAAAGAGGAAGGGCACGTAACACGAGCACACGCATCCTCCCTCCTCCCTCCCTCCTCCCTTCCTCCTTCCCTTCCTCCCTCGCCTCCTCCTGTTCATTTAACCCCTGAGACAAACTGCTCCGCCCCTGCCCTCGGCAACGTCCCCGTGACCGACGCGGCCACGCCGAACGGGCTCTTCTGCTTCACCGACCGCAAGGCCGGCCGCGGACGCCGCGCGCGCGAGGCCTGCAGTTCCTGCAGCTCCTGCAGCTCCCGCAGCTCCTCCAGCTCCAGCTCTTCCTCCTCCTCCTC